TTGGATCTATAGATCCTAGGTGCCATGGATCCTAGATTCTATAGATCCTAGATGCCATAGATCCTAAGTGCCATGGATCCTAAGTGCCATGGATCCTAGATTCTATAGATCGTTGGTTCCATAGATCCTAGATTCTATAGATCCTAGGTGCCATGGATCCTATATTCTATAGATTCTCTCTATATATATATAGAGAGAGAGAGAGAGAATATAGAGCTCTATATATAGAGAGAAATAAGCACGGGGCACGTTTGTGTGGCATTGGCGGTCCTGGGAAGTGAATTAGGGGCGTCGCGACGCCTGATAAGCGCCTGGTGTGGCGCCAGCGCGTCTCCCGACCTGCCTAATCGTGGTCGCCACAGGTGCGTCGAGTATCGTTGGCGGTCTAAGCGTCCCCCCGACGATTGGTCTCGATAATCGACGACGCGACGACGCGACGTCGGGACGTCGAGACGTCGATGATCGCGACGAGAACTGCCCACCTGTCGCTCACCGCTTGTCGCGGCTCGGTCGCGACGAGTTTCGCGAGCCAGCCAACAGAAACGGCCAGAAAGTCGTCCGGGCGTCGCGACGCTGGTGCGCCGACGTCTCGGTGGCGCCAGGCCTCGCGCGTCGCGACGATCTAATAGAACAGCAGAATCCTACGGAGGTTCGCGAGCCTCGCAACACACAGGTGCAACGATCTATTACAGGATCAAGTACTTGAATAAAATCAAGTATAAATCGCGAGAGTGATTTGATAAGAGAATAGGAGGAATTTCATTGGTTACGAAAGGTAGGAGTTACAAATGAAAATTGAATCGGGTTGTTCTTCTCTGGAGCACTCCACATGCAGAGGAGCGATGCAACATAGGACAGAACAGTATAATACAGTGTAACACACGAAAGCAGTGGATTATACACTATAAATTATACGCCACAGCGTAATACATCCTGTTACAACGTAATGCGACATTATAGAGTGTAATAGAGAGCGTAAAATAGCATAACAGAGAATATTCCAGCAATGGAACATTCATGATGCATTACGCAGCATCATAAAGGATCGTACGAGACACTCCAGGACCTTCTTGCTCGACTACTTATTTACCAAGCTTTACTCAACGCGCCATGTAATTAATGATTCAATTAATACACATTAATACACGAAGAAAGAAACGCGCGCGAGATCCTCGAACGCAATGGCGGTTTGAGGCTGCGCAGCGACGTCCTTCGGGCCAAAGAGGCCAACGTCGCCTCGGAGTCCCTCGACGCTTCCC